ATTAACAAATATTCATCATATTTAACGATAAAAATCGTATGAAAGTTGTATCCAAACAGTTACATTATTTGTCACAATTTTCAAGTTTATTCTTTTATTAATTTGCATAATTCGGCATGCAATTATGCATGTAAGAAAACACAAACTTTAAGACATATAATTATTTGCTAGAATTTATTTTTAAAACATAGCATTTCAATATAACAAGATTGTACATTTTAGGACGTGGACGACCATCTTACTAGAATGCATAATATGGGTTTTCATTAGTTTATAATTAAAATTAATAATTATGTGTCTTATATAATGATATCGCAATAAGCTGTTAGCATAAAATTAAATAACATAACAATTTTATTACTGAAAAACAAATTGTTAAATTCCTATTTAATTATGCTATAAAATTAAGTGATGATATTTTGTCTTTTCGTAGAGCACTTTATAAGAAACGTTAGAATGGATTTTTATAAACTAAGTTCTATTGTGGTGTTGTTAAGCGAGCATCTCAATAAATAAATAAATAAATAAATATATATATATATATATATATATATATATATAATTGAGATCATCTGAGAATAACATGTTTTCGTGAGACTACCTAAATAACATTAAACCTTCACACAGTACAACACATTGTGAAGATAATTTTCACAATGTTTTTGCTGTGAAGGTTCAGTGTTATCTTGTGGTCTCACAAGTTTCACGAAAAAAGATTGGTCTTATGAGAACCTAACCTATATATATATATATATATATATATATATATAAATGTTATTTTAAAAAGTGGTAAATATTTGAGAAGTAAGGAAGTGATTCTAGCCCTTCATACAGTCAAGATCAAATTTGACTGGTCAATAATTATATCTTTGACTAGTCAAAAATCACGGTTATGCAAAAAATAAAGAGGGTAGTTTCGAAACTTTTATAAATAGACGACAAACGTGTTCATATATGAACCTATGAACTATATGTTCATATGGGAACTCGTGTAATTCACATATGAACTAATTAATTGATTCATATATGAATATGTGGATTCATATACAAATCAAATATAAATTCACATCTGAACCATTTAATGGGTTTACATATGAACATATAGTTCATATGTGTATCACATGAGTTCAGATATGAACCCCTTTTGTCATTTATTTGTAAAAATTACAAAATTACCCCTCTATCTTTTGTATACCATGATCATCTGATACTTCACGGTCAAAGCCGTAAATGTTGACCAGATGAAAGGCTAGGGCCACTTTTTACTTCTCAAATGAATCTCTCCCTATATAATATATATATATATATATATATATATATATATATGAACCTATTGGACCAATCAGAATAATTCTCTAGTTATTGTTAATTCACAGTTGGTATTAATGGTTAAGGGTATATATGTAATTTTCATTTTGTAAATTACTTGTATTGTACTAATTTTCATTTTTTAAGTTATTTTTCTGTAAGTTACTTTTATTGTATTAAACGAGCTGTTCTTTTAAACAAACAATTAATGCTTTGTTCATCAACAGTTTCAAGGATTGAAACTGATGTATTCATAATGAACATATGTCAGTACAATCTGTCTTCATAACAATGAAAGAGAATTTCGAACATACGATGGTGCCATAATCAAAAATCATGAGTTAATGAGTATTGTTCATAAGTAATACCATGTCAACAGAAGACAATAACAATTACTATATAAACATAAATCGCAAACCCTCTACACACGATTAACAACAACACCTCAACCACATCCAATTTTAGGTCACATAAAAAAAGAGTAACACAACAACCCAAATCCAAATCCAACTACCAGTTTAAACCATCATTAAGTTCTTAATAGTAATGCAGACCCACGTCAATTATATCGTTAATAAATCACTAAAGACACGATAGTTTGTTAGGTATCATCATAATTCATATTTTATCGTATACATATGTTTGATGCACCACCAAACCACCAAGAAAACGATCAAAAAGTAAACATGATGATCTCTAATTTGTTGGGTTGTCAATATCATCAAATTATTGGGATTAATTTTCGTGAATTACATACAAAATCATGTAAAAGTACACCAACAAAAAGGTCGAGTTATAGTTTTTCTTAAGTAAATCATACTCTTTATATACCCTACTTAAAAGCATGCACTATCACACTTATTTTTCGATCATGTAAGCGTAGCTTTATCGATACATGCAAAATGTGATCCATATCTGTGTGGAGCCCATGTATTTGACCATCAAGATCAAGGTAAATTGAGTTTCTTTTTATCGTAAAACTGTTATAAATAAACCGATAACAAAGATAAATCAAGACCCGTTAAAAAATGTTATCTTTAAATTCGAATGCATCTTTTTTTTTATCGAGATTAATTTACGCATAGCGAATTGTAGTATCGAAAAAGGGGGTTTTGAGTAGGTTTGGATGGTTGTAATTGAGTTGGTTTTTTTTTTTGGCCATAAGTGTAGTACAAGCCACCATTATTAGGTTTTTGGAATTGTATGTAACTTGGAATGAAAGCAACCATTTTCACTGGCCAAAGGAGTCTATACCATTTATTAAGTATCATTATCTATATTTTGTTACAAAATATTTGAACACATTTAGGACGATTTACTCAAATGTTTATCTGGTAAGCGATTATCAGTAGAAGTCAACACTATAATTTATTTTGATGCGTAAGATTTTAGTATATATCAAAATACAACAATTTACTGGGTAAACGCTTACCTGGGTAAGAGTTGCCATTATCACTTACTGGGTAAGACTCTCCATTCTTCTTATTGTTCTTAACTGGTAAGATTCTTGGACATTTTTATGTTCATCCAGTAAGAAAATTTATGTGTTAAACACTTACCAAGTAAGTGTTTAATAAACGGGCTTTTAAAACCACAATTTTTTACTGTTCATTATTTCGACGATGATTACGACCATTTTAAAGCATTAAAAAAAATAAAGATAAGACATTAAACAAGGATAATATGGATATACGTGGCCTGCCCGGAAATTAAAGACGAAAATGATTTATTAATTAATTTAAATGATTTATTATATTTGGTTGTCGACTTTAATTTAATTTGTCCACATCTATCCACCACCTCCTTTATTCATATGCCTCAATTTCGGTTATATATATATATATATATATATATATATATATATATTTATTTATTTATAAAATTATAAATTATTTGACAAAAACACTTAAAAACCATTTTTATACATGATAGTTCATGGTAGTTTGTAAAAAGTAAGAGGCGTATTTGGTCGAAACGGATCTGTAGCGGCTCGAGTTTAAGCATCGTTAAATTTTTCATTTTACCTTGTGCAAATTTTACGTGAATAGTTTGCAAAGAATGAATTTCTGCATAATGATGTTTTTGTGCATATGAAAATCTGTGAACTCATCAACTCTTTGTAGTTGATCTTTTAAATCGTCATGCTTTTCAGGAATTTCAAAAGTAAGTATTGATCGCCGAGAAGCTTGAGAGAAAGCATACCTACATGAATTCGTTTTCCCCCTTGTTTAAATTAAAGGATGTACTTTATATCTTGAAAACGATGTAATTTGTGCTCCTTTTACTTAATTTATAAAATTATGTTGATATTGTCGTTTACCTTATGTCATGAAACCTTAAACTGTGACACCTCGTGTTCCGCTTTAGCGGGGTGTGACACTACCACTTTTAACTTTTATCGAGATGGATTGGGAAATCTATCGAGACGAGTCGGTAACTCATCCAGATCAATCGATAACCCAATAAAGAAAAAGAAACAAAAACTAAAGTATGTAGAATTAAAACTATCACATTATGAAAACAAATATAAGTGAAACAATACCTTAAATACTAATATTTGTTGAAAAAAGAATCATATAAGAAGATATTTTTAATCGGTTCTCACAAGTGTGTGTATATATGTGTGTATGTGTGTGTGTGTGCGCGTGGAAGTTGAAATGAGAATAATGGCCAAATAAAATAAGCCAAATTATGTGAAAAATCACATGTGATTTTACACTAACGGTCAACGCAATGGTGTGCGGGCAATGTGGCCCACGACCCCTGGTCCTAGTCAAACTCGCGTGAATCACATATGATTTTACACGTGATTTTACTCATTTTAGTATAAAATCACATATGAATCGACTGTTTTTTATTCTCTTATTTGGTTAACGTTCTCATATGAACCTAACTCTCTCTCTATATACGCCAAAAATCATATAAAATTCATGCTTAACTAGATACATATTGATCACTCTGGTGGGAAAAATACGTCACAACAGTAACGACAATGTGGAATAAACCTACGTTGGACAAAACTTCCCCATTTATATGAACATATGAAGATGTAAACAAATAGATATAAAATTAAACGTATATAACAAAACGTATTTTTAAAATTAAACGTATATATATAATATATAATAAAACGTATTTATAATAAAACATATTAAAAATAACATATTTCAAAGATATTAATAACATATTATAAATTTATTAATTACTAAAAAAATAAAAAAAATAAAAAAAAAACATTTTTTTTTCAAAGGACCGGCCGTAACCGGTTATGGGACCGGAACTGGACCGGCCGGCTTAACCGGTTATAGAGTTTTTCACCGGGACAGGGACCGGAACCGGGACCGGTTATAGAGGGACCGGTTATGGGCGTTTTTTGTCGCGATTAGGACCGGCCGTAACCGGTTAAGGCCCGGCCCGGGACCGATTTTTTGCCATCTCTAGTTGTGATACATGCATTTCCATCATCATCATCATCATCATCATCATCATCATCATCATCATCATCATCATCAAATACTTGATTAATACCAATAAATTAATATGTAATAAGATTGATCAGAGACGTTTCAATCTTTTTGGAGGTCCTGTTACATCTAAAACTTTTGATTACGTTACATAAATGAGATAACAGAGAATATATGCTAAGAACAAAAATGGCTAAACCTAAAACGATTAACAATCTGAAACTAAACTCAAACCATTAATGCTTTGAACCTAAAACCAAACAATTAACGGTTTGAACCTAAATAACTTCGGCTATAGTTTTACATAGGTCGATAAAAAAAACCTAAACACATATAAATTTGGCCCCAAAATTTCCGAGGAACCTGTTCAAAATCTCATATCTAACATACAAAGGGACGACCCTGAGATTGATCATGCAACCATAATTCCGATTCACAAACCAAAAAATCAATAAAAACCCTTCGTAAATCAACCAACATTACAATCGTATTTAGAACCTTGTGGCTCGATTTATGAACCCTAAATATTTGGGTATTTCGGAATCTTTCTCGGAACAAATCTTTCAAGGTCGGATCTTTTTCAGGCCTCTAAAATTAGTCGAAGTACGCACAAGATCGTTCGAACACCCATATTTAAAAAAACATTACAATCATATGAAAACATTAATTAATTCCTTATTTTAATTTGTGTGTTTGTTAACATACCTCATCCTACTTCCCCATGATCCTTCCTTACCATAACAAGTTGTAGACCTCTTCTTGAGCTCCATGATCTGAACCTCCCACCTCCTCTCTCCAACCTGGTCGGTAACCGCACAACCGACGCAAACATGACCAGCAGGTTGATCACGACAGCCGACTAGCGTAGAGTCGTAGTCTTCACGCAACACGGGATCCATGAGTGTCGTGTATGCTGTGTGCAACAAAACAAACGTTTTGGTGGCATCTTCATCATCACAGACATCAGGATGGTACTTGAGAGCCAATGTTCTATAAGCCCTTTTGATATCTTCGGTTCCTGCATTTTTGGAGGTCAAAGAAAGCAGTTCGTAGAAGTTGGAGCCTGAACCATGGGATGCAGACCTGCAGCATGTAACTGTGAACAAGGGCTTGGGCTTGACACATGGGGGGTTGGAGAAAAAACATGAAGACATATAATTGGCCATGGGAATCTCATGTGATTTTAGCATTTAGTTCTTATACTGTTGGAACAAGGAATCCTTGAAGGAAAGATATATATATATATATATATATATATATATACACACATACATATATATATACACACACACACAATTATACAAAGACACGTACGTTTGGAATATAGAAATTGATGGTGAGGACTGTTTCAAAAGTACAAGTAAATATGCGTAGAGAACAAAGCTTGTTAAGCTGTGGTTTAGGATATCTAGAAGGACCATATATATATATATATATATATATAGTTGTGAAAAGGCAAGGGCGAGAAGCTCAATGGAAAATTAAGAGATTAACCAACAAAAATGAAGAGGAAAACTTGTTGTCTCCATGGTTAATATCGATGCAGCTGCTTTGAATATATGCATCAAACATTCCATTCTGTAAACGCGTGAACGAGAGCAAAGTCAAAATAAAAGAATAAGAAACACGATCGAATTATACGTGATTTTACATGGTTGTTGTCTTCATATGTTCTTATGGTAATTGTTGTCGTATGAATTTGACACACTCACTCTCTTTATGTATATATGGTTGAGTTCTTTGGAGAAATGTCATTTTTCATGAAAAGTAACACTCATATATATATATATATATTGTGTGAAGACGTGTAAACATGAGCGTATTCATGGAAAAGGTTGAAGGTACATATTCAGGTTTCATCACCTTCATCATTTTTATAAAATATAACGTAACATTCACACAATATAAGTGTACCTTTATCACTTCTCGTGCTTTCCACCATAAAAGTTTTTTATCATGTGAACTCTACGTATATATAGGGAGGATCAAACGAGAACATAGTCAAAATAAAAGAACAAGAAAACGATAAAATTTCATAGGAACACATGTGATTTTACATGCGACTACAAAACAAGGTCAACGCAAAGCTCGTGGCCTCATGTTGTGGTCAAAGTCTCGTGATCACCTGTGATTTTACATATGATTTTAGTGTAAAATCACATATGATTCAACTATTTTCATGTGCTTTTATTTAGTTATTGTTTTCGTATGAATCTGAAAAGTATATATGTGTGTATATATATAATTAAATTGCCATTTTGGTCCGTATGATTTATGGATATTCTTGTATCAGTCCCTACAGTTTTTTTATTGCAAACTTGCTCTTGTGGTAAGCATTTTTGCTCGCTTCTAGTTCCTCCTACTAACAATTGTTAATTTACATCCATTAGTTAAGGGTTTGGTCTATTAATTTCCATTCTTCTTTGAGAATAAAGAATGAATATATGTATGTATACATATATGTGTGTATGTATATTATCTATTACAAATACATGCATATACACATGCCACAATATTATAAATATATATACATATACACACACATAGATCGTCCCTAAAAACCCATCAACCCCACCCCCTAACTTTATACATATATTTGTAATAGATAATATAAATACACACATATACATATATACATACAAATATGTGTGTATATATTACAAACATTTGTAAAAGTTAATTTGATGGAGTTATCTACTCCTTTATATATGTTTGTAACATTTTTTTTCTCTAACCACGGATGATGGGTATAGTTTGTGCATGCATCAATTAATTCAATAAGATACGAGAGAACAATCAAGAAAATCATTGATATTCTTGAAGAGACTCAAACTGATGACCTTTGAAAAGTGATACAAAAACCTAGATCTTATTGTTGGTTAGAAAGAGATTTAAGAAGCTTTCAAATGACATAAATTGTATCAAAGTCCGTGCCTAGCACCACCTAAGTAAATATACCCTTTGGCCCCCATTCTTGGGGGACTATCTAACATTTGTTTAACAAGATAGGTTGGAGTCTCACATCGTTAGACATGGTCTTTTAAACCTCTGAAATTAACCTCGCCTCTCTTTGTAATGCTCTTTAGAAAGAGTAAACTACGTTTTCCATCTTTGTGGTTTGTTGAGAACTGCTATTTTAGTCTGTCTTTTCAAGATTACGGTTTTCGTCCATGTGGTTTATAATTTATTACTTTTTTCATCCATATGGTTCATAATTCATGATTAATGTTTTTGTTCCTCATATTTAACCAATGACGAAATTAGTGTCATAATACATTTCTTAAAAATCAATTTGTTAAAAGATATGAATTAGAATCCCTGAATCGTTACGTTATTTTAAATGACAAAAAAACAAAATAGTAATAACAAAACCACTTGCTTGCCTATGGCCTTATATTATTTTATTTAATCAACCAAATTATATATTAAATTATCAATAATTATTTAATACCTAATAACACAATTCAAGTATTATATAACAACGTAAATTAAGGGAGTGTTTGGAATTGCTTATTTGAAACAATTTATGCTTTTCTACAAAAGCACTTATCAACTTATTATAAGTCAGAAGGATTTAACTTCTTAAAAAACTTCTTAATACCGGTTTGACACCGGTATAAGTTGTTTATCCAAACACTAAAAAATGCTTATTACCGATGACACACCAGAATAAGTCAAAAAGTTGTTTCAAATAAGCAAATCCCAAACACCCCTTAAATCTCTCCATTCCAATCCAAATCCCTCCATGAAATCCAAATCCCTAAAAAACAATCATGCAAACCAAACGGACCTAACGGATATAAACTCAATTCACCTCTCCCTGGTGATAACTGATTTCCACAGATAAAATACCGTAACAGTTGGACCAGTCCCTAAAAGGTTCTTTCATTTACACATAGCTTGCTCAATCTGATCCTACTGAGCACCAACCATACAACTTGTCCGGTCAATGACCTATCCTATCTGATCCAGTTCTGTTCAGTCATGTCCGCATACCAAACACTTATTGAACACTTGACTTTTTTAACCGTAAAGATCTTTTATATAATAAAACTAATTATAATCAGCTAAAGAAATGCTAACAAAAAAAAACTAACTATAATCAATTAAGGAATGTACCAAAGGAGAGAGGATGGTCAACCCATAGTACTTAGGTCCCGTTTGGTTTGAAAGAATGGAATAGATTCAGAGAGATTTGTATTTCAAATCCATTCCAATCACATGTTTGGTTTGTTGGATTGTCTGGATTTTACAAACAAAACACACCAATGATTTCAAATCCATTCCAATCCAAATGCCTCCATGAAATCCAAATCCCTAAAAAACAATCATGCAAACCAAACAGACCTAACGGATATAAACTCAATTCACCTCTCCCAGGTGATAACTGATTTCCACAGATAAAATACCGTAACAGTTGGACCAGTCCCTTAGCATGTCCTTTTCAAACTAGCAATGTCGCCATTTTATTTAAAACCACTTAAAAGTTCTTTCATTTACGGAGTATAAACATGCAATCGCCAAGTTGCTACCGATAACCAGTGTTGTTGATCATGTGATATATACACAAGTAACCTCATCATGGGTGTTCAAATTTTTGGCATGAAATCTTCCCCACCAAAAATGATAGTGAATGAAAAACAACAAAAGGTATTGGACTTGTGAATTACCATGAGTGTGGTCATAGGCTCCTCTTCTGCACATCCTTTTATTGTCTTATTAACCTGCATCATGTAATCATCATTCAATTTAGACCCTATGCAAACACACATACGGCGAAAACAAAGAAAATAGCAAATACATTCAAGCAAGCAAAACTCAACTGAAGCTGAAATCATATCTTTTTATTAGGAAGTTTTCTGATTTCAGATAATGATGACTCATCTTTCTGATCAACTTTGATGAACAATTCGTGGTATTGACGAAAAAAGTGCCTAATTCTCCTACGTTGGTTAGAAATGGATAAAATGGTAAAAGAGAGCAGAGGGTGTATCTCAACTGTATTTACGAAGTAGAAATAAGAGAATCTGATGGTGCAAGAAGGTTGGATCTCTTTTCCACCAAAGATATGATCACTGCAACATTGTCAGGCTTGCCACCTGCACATCCTGTGTATCCAGCTGCCTGAGCAGCATCCGAGAATGGACTTCTTACAAATGCAGACCTCCCAACTTCTTGTGCTCTTGTCGCCAATGCATTAGCAATTTCCTAACAGCGACGAGCATAGAAACATGATAGTTCGTAATTATGATTAGCACCCAAATGCAATGGTACAATGCACACTAAATCAGTAAGTGTATGGTACTACATGTAAAGAACTCCAGATGAAAGAAACCAAAGTTGGTATGGAAGTGCCACGGAGCAACTCATCTCTAAGTTTTATATAAAATTGTGACCAATTAAAGATTACTCCTTCCCTCCCCAAAAATTAACACTTGCTATTTTGGTTGTCCCTGAATATTGCAACATTCCTTTTCCACCCCCTTTTGTAAATTTACCTATTATCCATTAGCAATTATCATTGGGATTGATTATAATCTACAAGTTTTCTCAACTTTGTCTTATAATAAGGGTGGTCTATGTATTTGATCATTAGTTAAGAACTTTTATTAAACTATGTGTCAAGTCAAATGTTGCATTTTCTTAAGACAAAGGGAGTAGTACTTAGGGGCCGTTTACCAAACGCTTTTCGAGAGACCACTTTCATTTACCTCACTGGGTAACATTCCCAATCACCAAAAATGAATTAATGGTTAGCGTTTATAACGCTTTAAGTGCTTATGGAGTAAGAGTCATCACCCTCACTTACCGGGTAAGACTCTTGATCCTTGTCTTCCCTCTATCCTGGTAAGATTCTCAGTCCTTGTTATGTTCACCCGATAAAGTAATTGAACAGGTAAGTGGTTACCATGGTAAGTGTTTAGTAAATGGCCCCTCTGTTCGACCACAGGAATTAAAGGTTCTGGCAGTTAAGACCCAAAAACTGTTGGATGCTCCATTCGTTTTGTTGTAAGCTACAAAATTATAAGTTATGCATGCGTCTATGAGATTCTTTTCTTTTCTTTCGCTATGCATTGAAATCAACAGGATTTCCTAATCGCATCAGAACATCCTGACAGAAATACTGCTAGCTTTCGAGAAACTATGCAAGCTATTAGTGATGTAAAGCTACAATTATATCTCAATAGTCTTTTCGTTTTAGGGTATAAAGCCTCTGTCCACTTACTATCATGAGTCAGTCAAATTAGTTGACCAAATATTAGTTCCTTGAATATTTGATACTTCTTTGAAAGACTTGGGTTAAGTAACATGGAATACTTGTATTTGTTGGTAAACAATTTGAATTACACAGTAATCTTAAATCTAGTAACTAAAAGAGTTCACTAACTTGCAAGCTAGCTAGAGCCAATCATGAACATGAACAAAAGTGACTCTTGGTCACCGTTAACAATTTTTTTTTTCCATGTAACTTATAATGTTTTAGCATTAAGGATTACAAGATGCTGGTGATTACCTAAGTTATCTAATTGTAAGCTTTCTTAGGGGGGGATTACAGAAAGAACTAACAAAAACTTGTTCCACGTTTGATGTGACAATTATACCGGGAATAGACATGACTGAGTAACAAAAATGCATTTTTCTGTCCCACCAAAATAGGTGGAACAAAATCAGGGAGATAAGACTAAGTTCATAAATTACTAAACCATCTATTTCAAATTAAAACCCTAAAACCTTCCATCACCCACCTACCTCACTCTCAACCGTCTAGTCCATTTTGCGTACCAAACGCACCCTTAAGGTGTCATGAGTAACTTTGTCCAACTGTGTGCCTTCAGATGAATTTAATCCATTCAATTTGATTATTACTTAATAATGCTAGCAGGGTATTTGAGCATTTTTGATATGGTAAGAAGCGCTAGGCAAGTCACAAGTTACGGCAAATTTAGTGCATGGGCCAAAAGGTGGAGCCGCTAAACTAGTTTCAAATAATAATGGACACGAGGACGTACATGCAAACCATGAAGAGACATTGGACAAGGATAGAAGGCGGCAAGAAATGTGCCGCGAGTTATGGAAACAACACCTATTTTTTAGCTCAGAACTTTGATGCAGCAGTTGTTACATGCAAGAGGTATTAATGTCACAGCTAAAGATTGAATGTTAATGTTCCCCAACCTTCTGTGCAAGTCCAAGAAAAAGGTGAGAAAAAAGCACATTAATATTCACCTCAGGTTTCATCCCAGCTTGCAATGACTTTGAGACGATCATAGCTATTTCTCGCTCATATAGATTGTCAAATAGTCCATCCGTGGCAGATACAATTATGTCACCCTCATCTAGTTCAATTGTGTGTTCCTGAGATGAAGTGTTAAAAGAGTTGAAGTTGTTCTTTTTTGTCAGAACAAGGGAGACCTTCAGTCTATTATACATGAATATTGCATCAAACTGATCCACAGCTCAGCCAACCAAAATTATGCCCTCGATATTTTAGCGATAGTTTTGATTACATACCTCCACAAGTTGCAAGGGATCATCACATTCATCAACTTGCAATGAAAAGTGGAACTCGTGAAGCAATGGAGAAGACTTCTTATAAATAGCACCATGTCTTATAATTAAAAATCCCGTGTCTCCAATATTAGCCACATGAAGAGCCTGTTGAAAATTGAATTTCAGTTGAATGCCAGCAATAATGCTCCCCCACAGTTCTGTTCTTTCTCTTGTAATTAGTACAGGTGGTCCTCTTACATGTTATAATGCAAATACATAAACAAGATAAATAAAAAACAAATATATAAAAATCCTAATCCACAATTTAGGGTCTGCATAAAGATCATCTAAGTTGATTTCCATACAACTTCGCTTATAACTATCACCATTAGCCTCCTGTACTAATCCTCCAAAATTGTGTTTCTCTTTGTTAAAATACTTATCTATAACTGTTAAAACGTAAAAGTTAAACTAATCATTCAAATAAAAATTTACAACCCTACTCAAATCTCAAATGTGAACATTAAGACTTCAGAACACAAACAAAGAATGATGAATGACAAAAACTAGAACATTATAAAAAGGACATACAAAACTATATTATACGGACATGTTTATTGTAGAATTGTTTGGTTGTTAAGTATCAGTGATCAACACAATTCAAGCTACTTTTGTTTCAACATGTGAAGACGAACTAGCCGTAAATCATGTAAATTGAAATGGAAGATTATTGTCTGCTGAATAGCAACTAGAAACAAATAAATAAACAGAAGAAATGACATAAGCAATCAAGCAAATCAATAAACATCAAACAAGATAGTGAGATACTTCATACTTGGATCTTGGGTTCCAATAAATTTAGAAAAGAAGTTTTTTAGACACAAAATTAAAAAAAGGAAATATTGTCTTGTGAGAGGAGGGTTAACAAAAACAAAGTTGGTTTACTTTTTTTAATGTGAGGGTGATCCTGGGCCCACCTTAACCCTGAGGTGCCTCCACCCATGCACGCGTTTTAACTTAAAAATGACTACTCATCTCGCATGAATACCCTTTTGGCAATTGGCCATAAGAATCCTGTCGTCTCATTTTCTGGAATTCATTTTTTTAATAAACGTCCTATTTGTCTCTGTTATAGAATAGAAATGTTTAATTGAATAGGAATGCATATATTTAGGAGGATTATTATGGATTAATTTAATGGAATTGATTTGATTTCCTTCCTTATTTAGAATCTACCATGTGTATTGATGTGCACATACTAATTATTTTATTCCAGTTTGCTTTCATGGTATCAGAGCCTAAGGCTCTTTTGGGCTAGCAGTTCTGCCTTGTTATTTCTGGATTTTTTCCACTATTCTTCATTTGTTATATGTGGTAAAATTATTGCAAGTCTTGGAGAATTTTCTCCCTCTGGTTGGAGTAGCTTCTCAGACAAAGTTCAATCAAGTATGGTCTTTGTATATTTAGGCTTTTTTTTATATAAATGCAATCTTCATGTCCGTGTTTTCTGCCATACGTGTTTCCTATATTTTTTTCTTCATGCTTCAAGTGTTGATTTAAGCATTTTCGGGTGTTCTTTGCTATTTGCTTTCTATGGTTTTCTTTTGCACATCAACTTCGAGTAGTAATAGGTGAGGAAAAGAAGACTCCCGTCATGAGTAACATGATTCCACCTTGGTCTAATAGTGATAGGTGAAGAAAATAAGACATGCGTGTCACAAACTTAAACATATGCGTAATAAACCCACAATTGCAAAATGCAATTATGAGCTGCTAGTTTGTCTGATGGTAAACTCATGTTCATTCGAGCTTGTTTCAAATTATCAGAAGCTAATTGAGATGTGTGAAAAAGGCTTCTATAATTCAGCCTCTAAATTGAACACAAATTCTATCTAATACAGAGAGAATCAATAATTATGTAACTAATCCCTAAAAATCAGCTTACAGATTATATGATATCCTAGCTTGATTTTCTACACTCCCCCTAAAGCTAGGATATATATGTTCTCAAAACCAAGTAAGGTACTTAATTGAGTGAGATTGGGCCGAAACAGAGCCTTAATTAAAATGTCAGCAGCTTGCTGCTTGGATGGAACATGTGTGAGTGAGATTGTCTTATTTTCGACCTTCTCATAGATGAAGTGTCTATCAATCTCCACATGCTTGGTACAATCATGCTGGACTGTATTTTTGGCAATTGCAATTGCTGACTGGTTGTCACACATGATCCTGATGGAGTCTGAGATTACAACCGTAAGTTCTTTCAATAATCGTTATAACCAAATTCCTTCACAAATGCCCAAGGCTAAAGCTCAGAACTCTGCCTTGGCAGTGCTGGTTGTTTCTTACTGCGCCATGTCACGAGATTTCCCCAAATGAATGAGCAGTACCAGATGTGAATCTTCCATTATACGAGGATCCACCATAGTCTGCATTGGTATAAACATCTAGTGTCCGATTGACAAATTTTCTGAACATGAATCCCTTCCCTGGATCTTTCTTCAAATATCTTAAAATGCGGTTCACAGCCTTCATCGATGGGTTGCTAAGAAATTGACTCACAATGCTGACAGTTAAACTTATATCAGGACGTTTGTGAGTTAGATATATTAGCTTACCTATCAAACACTAATATTTCCTGTTATCAGTTGCCGGTTCATATGTCCGAGGCCTTAGCTTGGTATCAGGATCCATAGGGGTCTCAATTGGTTTGCACTCGATCATGCCAGTCTCACGTAAGAGATAGAGCACATACTTTGATTGGGAGATAGAGATGCCTTGACAGATCCTTGCTACTTCCATTTCTAGGAAACATTTTATAAATCACAGGTCTTCAATCTCGATCTCTTTGGATGGTAGCCCTTTTGGTCTCCTCATTTCTGCTTGATGGTTCCCTGTAAGAACTATGTCATCAACATATACTATTCTATTAGGGCTGTGAATCTCCCATCTGAGAAGTGTTCTGCAAACAATGTATGATCTGCTTTAGTTTGGGAGTATCCGTCATTTTTAAGGACTTTGGTGAATCTGTCAAACCAAGCTCTAGGGGACTGTTTAAGTCCATATAATGCTTTCATTAGCTTGCAAACCTTCCCATGGTTCTCCTTGTTCTCAAATCCAGAAGGGTTGTCCATATAGACTTCCTCGATCAAATCTCCGTTCAAGAAGGCGTTCTTGACGTCAAGATGGAACAACGGCCAATCCTGATTAACTGCAATGGACAATAGAACAGAAATCGTGTTAAGCATGGCTACAGGAGCAAAAGTTTCCTGATAATCAATTCCATATGACTGAGTAAGCCCGTCTAGTGGCCCTTTAGCCACTAGACGGGCTTTATATCTGTCTATACTCCCATCTGCTTTTTGTTTAACTGAACAAATCCATTTGCAACCCACTTTCTTCTTCCCAGGTGGTAGATCAGTTAACACCCAGGTGCCATTCCTTTGAAGAGCATTGTACTCTTCTAAGGTTGCTACACGCCATTTCTGTATCCGTAGAGCCTCATAAACCAAGTTGGGTATCGTGACCTTGTCTAGGGATGTCATAAATGCCCGAAATTTTGGAGACAAATTTTTGTAAGAGATGTAGTTGCGAAGGGGATGTTGGGTGCATGATCTTACCCTTTTTCTTTGGGCAATGAGAAGATCCAGTGTAGGATCACAACTGAATAAAAATTCTATCATATAAAGAGAGAATCAATAATTATGTAACTAATTCCTAAAAACCAACTTAGGCATGGGAATGGCCCCCGACCCGTCGGGGAACCCGGTCCATCCGTCCCGATCGGGCACGAGGATTCCCCGCTAAATCGGGGACAAGATGGGGATCCTCGTTTGTCTTAAACCGAGGATGGAGACGGGACGGGTATCGTACTCCCTGCCCCGCCCCGTACCCGTTATATATTAATTAATAAATGATATGTATATACATATATAAATGTACATATATATTATTTATTTCAACTAAATCGATAATTCATAATTTCCTATTTTTTAACTAGGTTTATAATCTAAAATTGTTATTTTTTGGATGTTAATATGTAATATTTTGGATGTCCAGTAAAAATACAATTACTCGATAAGTTTTGTATATTACTCGATATGGTTTTATATTACTCAATATCTTTTAGTACATGTGATTTTAAGTTTTTTTTGTATTAAATTGAATTTTTTTTTGGTTTTAGGCTATTAATTCTTATACGATGTTGTGGGTTTTTTGTATTAAATTAAATTCATTTTGGTTTTAGGTTTATTGAAAATATTTGAGATTTAAACATGTATGGTCTCTCACATATTTAATTTAAAATAACTTACATAAACGGGAAAAAAAATCCCTGGTTCCTGTTGGGGATCCCCGTTCCCAGTTGGGGATGGGGATGTGATTATATTCCCCGACGGGGACGGGGACGGGGACGGGGATTGAGGTCCCCGCCTCATTCCCATTCCTAAATCAGCTTACAAATTATATGACATCCTAGCTTGATTTTCTATATTTGCAGACAAGTTAACATTGTTATATAAAGTGCTTGAGTTGTGTTAAGACTCAGGAATGAGCTAAACCAAGACAACTTGAACTTGAATGATGCAAGATAAAGTTGGGGAAATCTTAACACATACATAGAAATACATGTTTTTTTATATGAAAAGATCAAAACAGCAGTACCATGGCTTATTATAGTTTCTGCATAGGAATATGAGATGTATATCTGAGTTGAGTGTCTGCTAAAAGTTGCAAAATTTAATCATGATCTACATTAACAGGATTGAGATAGCAGAATGCTGCAACGTTTTATTGCTACAGGAAAGCTTCCTTTTTCTGTGAACAATGAGTCCATACCCATGCTATTTGTTCCATTTCTAAGTTAATACTGTAAACCAAAAGCCAAACCAAGTTTAACCCTCGAATTCGCATCTGAAATCAGTTACTTTGCTTGCTCTTGTTTCTTTAAGGAACTTTGAAGTCTTAATCTTTGAGGTACGATATCTGGTACCATTATATATGACTTGTTCAAGATGATAATATACGTGTAAACTTGCACAATCTTACTACTTGTTTCTTTGTTGACAAACATCTTGAGTTGTAAAACTTGCAACATACTGCAGGGCCAGGTAATCCATACGAGTGCCTCCTTTCCTCCTCATCTTGATGGGTCATTGACTCCGGGG